AAAATAATAATAATAATAATAATAATAATAATAATAATAATAATAATAATAATAATAATAATAATAATAATCATCATCATCATCATCATCATCATAATTTACATGTAGAGCCTCATGATAATTTATAATCTAAGGCCTCAAAATTTCCAGCTAAGGCCGCCAACATTAAGTATTTCTATGTGCTTCCTACCCAATGTACAATGAGCAATGTAGCAACTAGAAATTTTGGGCAATGCTGGAACAAGTATAAACCAAACATTTGACCGTCATATGCTACTACGAAAAATTTTCGGATTTACTCAAAAAAAATAATAATAATAATAAATAATTAAGAATTTTGCTGGGAGAACGGGGGCCTGACCGAACCCCACCCATGAGGGTGGGTCCCGCGCAAAAAAAAGGGACCCCCACCTATTGGTGGGGTTCGGTCAAGGGGCTGTCAGGTCCTGTTTTTGTAGCAAACTCCAATAATTAATGTATGTTCAAGATGTGATGTGACATGGAAAATAGTATAATTTAGGTCAAAGAAACAATGCAAGGATTCAATAAAAAGGTTTTCTAGGAAAGGCAACTTTGCAAGGCTGCCTGTAACAGTTGTATCAAATCTTACATAAACCAGTACATGTACTGTCGGAATCGTAAATTACAAGCTAAAAATTAACAACAGGTACAAAAAACAATATGGCAAGTCGGACCACCTCAGCGTAGCATATTTTTCTCCAAATTACATAGTCTAAAGTGTATAAAATGCATGCCCTGAGTTTAGAAGCTATAATCTTCTCATGCACAGTAGATGGAACTGTTGGAATCAAATTTCACTTCAAAAAAACTGCCCTTTTATTGGCTGGTTTCAGGATCTGAAGCGAAGACACCAAATTATCATCAACGATCATAATTGCACCAGAGTTATCGAATTCACCATGAAAGTAGGGAGCAGAAAATATTGTAACTAGCTGTCTGTTAGCAAAAAATTCATATCCATCTTTCACGAACCATGGCATACAAGGTCTAAATCATGTTTCATTAGGAATTCACTTACCTTATCGGAACCAAAAGTGTACGAGATCCCCTGTCGCTCATCCCCCAGCCTTTTTCTTTGCTAGGATCTGACCAAAGTAGGTCTCAAAGCAAACCAGAGTCAGGAACATCAGTCCGATGAGGCAAATTCCTTATTTGATCCAAGTGATGTAGATCAGGAGAAAGACCACCATGCATGCAGAGTATTTTATCATCAATAAGAGCAGCAACCAGATAATTGACCTCTGGAGGAAATCCCCCAAATTCGAAAATCCTTAAAAGATCTCCATACTGACCGTGAGGAGAGCTAGGATCTCATTCTTCGACATTTGCACCTGCTACACTGTGCCCATGTGCCGAGACTGCAATAACTGATTGATGATGTCATCGGGAAAAGCGGGCTGTATCCCCTTTCCTTTTGCTGCCATCTGTTCCCGTCTCTGTCCTTCTATTCCTAGTACTCCCTAAAATTCAAACACAGATGACAAAGCCAATGAGGCAGAGCAGACTACAAAATACATGTTTAATAGTATAATTATGAATGGATAATGACAATAACAATGCTAAAAGGTATTTTTGGAGTTCATAAATCCATTGCCCCTCGCATAGCTCTTAAGCCCCCATTTTAGATCGAGGCTTTTGGTTCCTTCAGTATTTTAGAGCTGTGTGCATGTCAAAGTTTGACTCATGTTAATGCTCAAGTCACTTTTTATCCCCATATATTGATTGTTTCACAAGTACTATCCACATATGCACTTCTTATTTCTATTTATTTATAATTAAAACTATTTATGAACACTTCCTGTACATGCACTCATCAACCTGATGATGACTCAAGTACTTCACTGAAACTGGCAGCTGTATCAGCATTGGAAGTTTTGGCCAACAAATTCCCGTCACATGATTCAGTCTTCAGCGTGTGCCTTGGATCTGTTAGCAGAAGAATCTGTTCAGACAATTCTTCTCTCTCTTCTCGTTGCCTTCATGCTACTGGTGCACTGATTAATGTTCTTGGGCCGAAGGCTCTGCCTGAACTTCCGGGTATCATGGGATGTGTGGTAAGGAAATCTCGTGATGTCCCTTCTGTGGCTGCAGAAACCAAAAGGATTGCGGACAGGACTACTGGATCATCAAATTTGAAGGACAGCCTCTCCATTTCTATCCTTCTCACCTTAGAGGCAGTTGTTGATAAGCTTGGTGGATTTCTCAAGCCATATCTGGCCGATATTTTAGGACTTATTGTGTTGCATCCGCTTTATGTTTCCACCACTGAGCCAAAGTTAAAATTGAAAGCTGATGTCGTGCGAAAGCTCATTACTGATAGAATCCCTGTAACTTTCCCAAATGCTTCCTATTTTATTTTTTTCAGCATATACTTTTCTGATAAAATAAATTACTAATGTTGGAACTTCCTCTTGATATTTGATTTTGTTCAGGTTCGGCTTTTGCTCCCACCAGTGCTGGGAATATATTCTGATGCTGCAAAATCTGGGGAGTCAAGTTTATCAATTGTTTTTGAAATGCTAGGCAACTTGGTTAATTCGATGGATAGATCATCTATTGGTGCCTATTATACGAAGATTTTTGACTTGTGCTTGCTAGCACTTGATCTTCGCCGCCAGCACCCTGCATCAATTAGAAATATCATTATTTTTGAGAAAAATGTCTTAAGTGCGACTGTTACCCTGACTATGAAACTAACCGAGACTATGTTCAGGCCTCCTTTCATCAAGAGTATTGAATGGTCTAGTTCAGATGTTGAAGATAGTGAATGTACTCCCGGACAAACAACTAATCGTTTAATTTCCTTCTATGCATTGGTCAACAAACTTGCTGAAAACCATCGGTGAGTTAGCTACTGATTTATCTGATAGAGCTTTTGGTCCGCCATGTAGGTTTCTTGAAAGTAATCTAGGTTAATGGTTATTGTTGCAAGTAAGCTAGTATTCCAAAATTTGATTTGTGGGAATTTGAGATGAATAGACATTTTATTTCATGTCCTGACATTCTAATGTTTGAGACCAAAGTGATGTGTAATGGGCGTGATGGTTACGTAGTTGACATGGATATCAGTTTTCCACATAATAGAAGAATTGAATGCCACATAAAATGAGGATGTTATGTGAATGAGATATTGAATAGCAACAATTTCTAAAAAGATCTAAAATCATTTATTAAGTGATACATATTTGTCTATATAGTTCATCATTAGAAGCTGACCGTGTTTGCGCTTTTATTTGGTCATACTGCTGGTATTCAAAATAATAATGACAACGACGACGACGATGATGAAAGCATGGAGCCCTTAAATTTTTGTTAAGCTGCCAAAAATTATTTATCTTTGCTCTAGAACAGGTTGATAAGCAGTGATGTATTAGTATATATAAACTAAGGGGAGCAATAAGTTGTTTTGTGAAACTAAGTTTATGCATCTTTATCCTAACATGTAAAATAATTTGTATCCCAAACATAGAATAAAAGTGTGTGAATATTGATAATTGGAGCTTAGAATATATATATATATATATATATAAAACTAAGTTTATGCATCTTTATCCTAACATGTAAAATAATTTGTATCCCAAACATAGAATAAAAGTGTGTGAATATTGATAATTGGAGCTTAGAGAATATATATATATATATATATTACTTCTCTTAAAAAGCTCGAGAGTTGCCACTGTTGATGTATCAGTAAATGTATCCCAATTTGCTGTACAAGAGAGAAGAAAATGACGTCATTTTAGTTCATATATTTTTTCTACTTTTCACTGTTGAAGTTCTTTTTTCCCTTCTTTCTTTCTCTTTTTTAGCTCACGTGTATCCCGATTTTTGCTCCTTATTTTCGGCGACCATACTAGGAAACCAACTCCTTATTTTCATGTACAACAATTTTTATTGATTGATTTACTCAAAGCAGTTGAAGAGGTGTATGAATTTAAATATCTCTTTCTACTCCCCTTTCTTCTAGAAAAAATTGATGGCTGTAATGGTCAGTAGTGTTTTCTTCGTATTTTTTTTATGGAATTGATTTAGGTTTTGTTCCAAGTTGTATAAAAAATGCATAATTTCCTTTCGACCGTTGATTGATTTACTCAAGGCAGTTGAAGAAGTGTATGAATTTAAATATCTCTTTCTACTCCCCTTTCTTCTCAAAAATAAAATTTACTGGCTATAATGGTTAGTAGTGTTTTCTTCGTATTTTTTTATGGAATTGATTTAAATTTTGTTCCAAGTTGTATAAAAAATGCATTTTTTTCCATTCCATTAGAGTGAGTTTGTTGCAAAGTTATTTGAATTATATTTCTTTGTTTGATTTCACCTTTGGTAAGTAAATATAGATTTTTGCTATGAATTGAATGAATGTTGGTTCCATTTGACTGTGCGGTTCTAAATCTGCAAGATTTTTTTAGATGGATATTATCATTCCGTATTAATCGTTGCCAGAAGATTAACGATTTTATTTTGTTTTAGGAGGCAAGACAAGAGCTATGGCAAAAGATGCTCTAATGGATCACTTGGGTTGGAAAAAGGCCCATGTCTTCGGTCATTCAAGTTGGGGAGTTCTGATTTTGAATTTTTAATGATGTTTGATTTTTAATTTTTTTAATTTTTGTTGTTGAAAGGTAAATCGCGTACATTTCTTGTTTGTGATTATATGTCAATATTCCTTGATTTTTAGTGGTGAAATATTCTCAAAACGTAAACTACGCACATACGTGATATCAGTTGTAAAACCACAAATTTAAAACCAACCTACCGGTAAACAATTCGACTTCGACTTTTTTTAGCTCGTTGGTGTTATCTCGATGGTTAGTCAAATAAGTAACATAGTTAAATAGCCCGGTGAAAAAACATGCTAAAACAATTATCAGTTGTGTGTAGAGGTATTTCTTGTTTAGGCTATATAATTAATTATTTTCCTAGAAAGTATTACCCGATCTTAGTTCAATAAATTAACGTTAATTTGGTAAATTCATTTTTGTTGGAATACCGAGAAAATATTGCTTTAGTGTGATCTTTGATGTTAATTTGGTGAATTCATTTTTGTTGGAATATCAAACATTTAGGTTTGCTAAATTTATTGGGGATGCTTAAACAAATGGGATGTTAAAAAAAAAAAAAAAAAAAAGAAAAAAAAGAAAAAAAATTGCTCCCGCGAATATAGAGTTGCTCCCACAATGTGTGGAGTTACTCCGCACACTTCGTACAAAGTGTGTAGAGTTACGGACAACTCCACACTTTTATGCAAAGCAACTCAACTGTTCGCGAAGAATGTCCGGATTGTGCGAAATGTCCGCACTATCTGTGTGGACAGTTTGTGCAGACTGTCTGCACGATCCGCACATTCTATGCGGACACTCCACACATATTCCCACATTCTGTGTGGACACTCCACACATCTATGCGGAGTATCCACACACTACGTACAGTCTGTTGTGCTGGTGATTTTTTTTGTTTAATTAATCATGCAACTAATATTTAATTAGTTTGTTATTTTATGAGTTAAAAAATGCATTAAATCTAATAAAAAAATATAATTACAAAAATAAGTTTAACTTCAATATAATACCAAAAAAAATCTCTCAAAGAAATAATCATTGCCAACAACAAAAAATCTAACAAAAGTATCTATACATATAAAGAAGACAAAAATGAAAAAAGTAAAACCTGTGAATAAAAGAAAAAGAAAGAATGATGCCAAAAATTTGACATTATTGTTCGAATGGAAAATGCATTATTGATACACAAAAGACTTTATAGTCACCAGGTAGAAAGTATGGATTTATTATGTGATGTTACAATTTTTTTGAATAATCATAATAAATCTTCTTATTACGCTAATAAAATTACAATAAATTTTTTTTTTTTTTACAAATAGCATAAAAAAATCATTTTTATCTTTAACAAAAAAGTTACAAATTAGCAATTTCATAACCACTTTTTTTTTTAAATTCCAGAAAATACAATTATAAAAAAGGAAACAATATTATAGGAAATTCAATATTAAATAAATTTTATACATTTATAAAAAATTATAATTCCGTATATACAACTTACTGTATTTACAACTTGTTGTAGATGCAGCTTACCGGATATGCTGCTTACCGTATTTGCCGCTTACCGAATATGTTGCCTACCTACCGTATTTGCAGACAACTTACTATATTTTCATGTACCAATTTTTGCACTTACAAATATCAAGAATGCAGAACACCGTGTATCCTCTTACCAAATCGAATGTATAAAAATTCCAACTTTAAATTTTTTCAACATAAGCAACAATTTGTTAGATTCGAGTACTCCTTTTTTTGAGTTCTCTCAAATATATTTACCAATATAGAATTTTTACTTTTTTTTTTTTTGCAACCACGAATTCTTTGGAAACGGTAATTAGTCAATAATTTTTCATTACTTAGATGCTACTATATAGTATATACTATGCAGAAAGTTATTTAAACCAAAAAAACTACGGAAGATGGGAAGAAATCACCCAAAACTCAAGAGTCGGCTGCATAATTTATTAGATTTGAATAGGAGAGTCAGAGAGGGAATTCATCCTGCATTTAGTAACTACTCCATGAATCAATCTTCCCGTCTCCAAATCACCACAGTTCCCACAAGCTTGTAAAATCTTGGGAAACAAAAAATCATCCGAAATAATATTATCACTCTCTATCATCGAACAAACAAGCTCCATTACTTCACCCACTTCCTCTTCCTCGAGCATGCCCCAATTGTCGCAGACCATACGTACAAATTCCTCTCACTCACTCATTGCATCAAACACTTCAAATGCATTTTCAAGTGACCCATATTTGGCATTCATACTAACTAACTTTGTTTCAACAAAAGGGTCTGATTCCTCACGCAATTTTCTAACATAGCCATGTAGCTTATAGCATAAGTCAAATGAATTGGAGTCAATGCAGTAGTCAATCAGGTACGAAAGAGTATTGAACCTTACCGTGGATCCGTATTTAACTATGGAGTAAGAGGCCATGGCTTCACTGAGGTGCCCATTTTTGCAGAGATTCTTCAAGTGGGCATTTAATTTTGAGTCTGGATTTGGAGGGGCATTTTTGAGGAGGAAATAGTGGGATCTTTCAAAATGGTTTACTGGGAAGCTCTGTAACATTAGGGCATGCCTCACTCGGTCCGAGCCTTTAGCGCCTCCGGCTCCACTATCTTGTTTACTGGGAACGCCCTTTGTAAATTCATCACTCATTGAACTCCTCTGATGCCACTCTCTGCCAATAAAAGAAAATCATTATATCGTTTCTTATATTTAGTTAAGGAAACTAACCAAAAATGGATTATCTTCAACAAGTTTTGGAAAATCTACAATACGCTAATAAAAGCAAGATAAATACAAAATTCGTGCAACGCACGTAAGAACGACTAGTGTTTGTGTGTGTAGTTTATCAAGGAATTGGAAAGTTTTCTAAACCATAATGGCTTCATGAATCCATCTTAAAATTTCATTATTTGATCATAGCTGACAGATTCATCTATAAAAACCTTGACAAAGAACAAAGAATTATCCAACAGATTACCCTTTTTTCTCCAAGCAAATTTATGAAATTGGAATTATATGCTTCAAGTTGAGGATTTTGCTCATTAAATGAAGAATTGGACCGAAATCCGGAACTAGAGGATATGGATCTGAAACTTGATTCCCTAGAGTCAGCTAAAGTAACTTCTCGATCTTTTTCTCTCCAAAGCACAACTTCCTCTTGTCTCTCCCAATTATCATAGTTGTTAGACATCTTCATATTTTCCGTTTAATAAAAATCTTTCGAAATAAGAGTATTCATCTTGAGTTATTGAATCTTTAACATGGAGTCTACAGAAAAGATGAGAA